GCGCCCCGCCCTCCCTCCCTGCCCCCCCCCTGAGGTCCAGCGCCACCGGGGCCGAGGCCGCGCTGCGGCCGGGCTGGTTTTCGGAGGCGTCGCCGCCCCTCTCCCCCCCGGCGTCGCCCCCGCGCCCCACGACGGTGACCGGCGACGGCGACGACCGGCGACGGCAAGCGTGACGGCTCGAAGAGGGAACATTTGCACAAATAGGGGGCCGCATGCGAACCCTACGCCTACCCTCCACGATTTCTGAGGGGGAGGGTGGGGTTCACTCCCCCCCTCCCCCCCGCCCTATCCTTACTTCCTATGATGAAACACCCCCACATCCCCACCTAGCCGGCCGATAGCAACCCCGCCGTCCTAACTGTCCAAAACAGGACAAACTCATTCTTTCCCTCGCTAACATGTCGTCGAATTACGAAAAGTGTAGCAGGAATCGGACGGAATGAGCATCGCTTGGGTGACCCTATGCGGGCGGTCGCGTCCCACCCTTCCAAAAAACATACAAACTCAACGTTCTTCTCGTCAACATGGACTTTCTTGTCGTCGACGCTGCGAAAAGTATAGCAGGAATGGGACCCGGCGCCCATCGCGCGCGGACGCCTGGCCAACTCTACGCGGGACCCCCCGTCCTACCTGTCAAAAAACACCGCGACGTCGACGCTTTTCTTGCCAACATGTATTGCGAAGGCCTTGCGGCCGGTGCCGCCGACCCTGTTCGCAATGCGCAGCAAGAGGCACGGGCTGTGGGATGGTTTTGGGGAACGGGGAGAAGGACGAGAAGGTGGGGGAGGGAGGTGTCGTATCTGACCCGGGACTTCCCCGGGACTCCCCCGGGACCCCCCCCGGGACCCCCCCTCCCCCCCCCGTCGGGGAAGGGAAAGGGAAGGGGCTTCCCTTCGACTCAATTACGAAGTTGCTCAAGGTCGGTACGGGGGGGCGTCGTATCTGACCCGGGACTCCCCCGGGACCCCCCCCGGGACCCCCCCTCCCCCCCCCGTCGGGGAAGGGAAAGGGAAGGGGCTTCCCTTCGACTCAATTACGACGTTGCTCAAGGTCGGTACGGGGGGGGGCCGTCGTATCTGACCCGGGACTCCCCCGGGACCGCCCCCGGGACCCCCCCTCCCCCCCCCGTCGGGGAAGGGAAAGGGAAGGGGCTTCCCTCGACTCAATTACGACGTTGCTCAAGGTCGGTACGGGGGGGCCGTCGTATCTGACCCGGGACTCCCCCGGGACCCCCCCCGGGACCCCCCCTCCCCCCCCCGTCGGGGTAGGGAAAGGGAAGGGGCTTCCCTTCGAATCAATTACGACGTTGCTGAAGGTCGGTTTGGCTAGCGCGCTTGAGGAGGAGGCCCTGGGAAAGGGCGAGGGGAGCGGGGAGGAACCCAGGGGAAGAGGGGTACCAGGGAAAGGGAACGACAGAGACGACGATTACAAAGAATGACGGAGATGACGGCTCGAACGGAAAAGCCCCTCACACACGCCGACAGGGTCAGCGGATTTTCTCCTCGTCGGCGCTGCGAATCGCGTAGCGGGAATGGGACGCGGCGCACATCGCGCGGGGACGCCTGCTCGTCAACATGGACTGTCTTGTCGTCGACGCTGCGGCCCGTCGGGTTGAGGAGCTGGGCGGGCGGCAAGTCATAATGCCTCAAGCAAGTGCGGTTTAAGCAAGTGCCTCAGGAGACCCCCAAGAGGTCGAACAAAGGCGTCCAAGAGGTCCCAGGGGGCAACACAAATATTGTTTTTCATTTGGTGTTTGAAGGATTGTGAGGTTAGCGCCTGCTTGTGTTTACAATGTTCCAACCCGGAATATAGACCCAAGAGGTTTTCAGGCGTATACCAGAAAGCTCCCAAAACGCCCCACGAATTCCCAAGAGGCATTCTCATCTTCCTCCTCTGTTTCTCCCTTTCTTCCCTCCCTCTCTACCCCTCCTCCTCCTCCTCCTCCTCCTCCTCCTCCTCCTCCTCTCCTCCTCCTCCTCCTCCTCCTCCTCCCCTCCTCCTCCTCCTCCTCCTCCTCCTCCTCCTCCTCCTCCTCCTCCTCCTCCTCCTCCTCCTCCGCCTCCTCCTCCTCCTCCTCCACCCCCCCGTCCTCCCCTCCTCCATGCGCGGCAAAACCGAAACGATTGGCGGTGCAACGCGCGTGGTTGGAATGAGACGCGGCACACTTCGCGCGCTGGACATGTTGTCGCCGACGATGCAACATGAGAGGCCGGAGCGGGGCGCGGCGTACATCGCGCGCGGTTTTGTTTCTCGTCGGCGGTGCTCACTACGCGGCTGGAGTAGGGCGCAGCCCATGTCGCGCGCTGAACGTATAGCCGCCCACGATATAAGATGAGCGACATGCGTCGGACGCGACGCACTTCCTTCTTATGTTGCGGGAAGGCGGATGGGAGTGGACGGAACCCTTTGGATCGTTCGAGCTGGCTAACTTGACCCTTACCCGTACCCCTACCCCTACCACAACCCTCCCCCTCAGAAGTCGTGTGCGGGGGGGGTCGGGGTAGGGTTCGCATGTGGCCCCTTTTAAAAACATAGTTCGAATGTGCCCACACCGCGAATCGCCGTCGCCACTTGCCTTTTGGGAAAGCCCATGCGGCCAAACGTTGGTCTGCCGTCTGGCCAAGCTGCTGGGAGATGCTTTCCCACAGCCGTTGTAAAACCCCTTGGGGGGAACATTGGGGAGAGGAAGAAGACAGAGGAAGAGAGAGGGATGTGGAGGACGAGGACGAGGACGAGGACGAGGACGAGGACGAGGAGGACGAGGAGGACGAGGAGGACGAGGAGGAGGAGGAGGAGGAGGAGGAGGAGGAGGAGGGAGGAGGGAAGAGGAGGGAGGAGGAGGAAGAGGAGGAGGAAGAGGAGGAGGAGGAGGAGGAGGAGGGAGGAGGGAGAGGGAAGAGGAGGGGGGAGAAGAAAAGGATGAGGGAGGAGAGGAGGAGGAGGAGGAGGAGGAGCAAGAGGAGGCATATTGAGGCCCTCTTGGGTCCTCTTGGGGCATCCTTGGGAGCCTTTTTTTTTTCGGGGGGCCCAGAGGTTTTTTGTTGGAGGCCTCCTGGGAGCCTTTTAGGGGTATCGTGGAAGCTTTTGGGGCATCTTGGGCATCTTGGGGCCTCTTGGTCTTCGGAGCTCGTCTTGGGGCTTGGGGCCATCTCTAGGCAGTTGTGGTTTCCTTTTTCTATGCTTTGGTGCCGTCTTGGAAGTCCATTGGGCCGTCTTGGGGGCTCATTAGGCCATTGGGCTTCCCTGGAGCGATCTGGGGGCCAAAGGGGCCGTCTTGGAGCGTCGGAAACTCCAAAAGTCGAGACCGCCTAAATAGTTGTAACACCTTTTGGTCTCCTGAAGGTCCTCTTGGAGCCCTCTTTGGGCGTCTTGAGGGCCACTTGAGCCGTCTGAGTGACATCTTGGATCCGTCTTGGAGACATCTCGGGGCCAGCTTGGGCTCTCTTGAGGTCATTTTGGCCGTCTTGGCGTCTTGGAGGCCAATGTCGGGTCATCGAGGAGCCATCTGGAGTGGAAAAAAGCGTGCCTCCCACTTCTGGTGGAGCTGTCCGGGTGGGCGGCGGGCTCAGCCGAGACCTTACTGGGAATCTAAAGAAACCAAAACATTCACAGATCCAGCAAACCGGTTACCCCTGTGGCAAGCATAGGGGGTGGCGGATCGAAGACGCCTACGGCGAATCACCGCCGCCCCCTGCCTTTTTGGAAGCGCCTATGTGGCCGAACGTTGAGGCCAGACCTGCCAAGCTATCGGACCACGTGTTCCCCGAATCGGTTTGGAAAGCCTTCGGGGAACACGTGGGCATCTTGAAGGTCATCTTGGCCGTCTTGGAGGCCTCTTGGGCAAGCTTTGGGCGATCTTTGGGGCGTTTTGGGCCGTCTCGGGCCAGCTTCGAGCCAACTTCGGCCATCTTGGTGGGTTCCTGGCACGTCTGAAGCCGTCGGAAGCCGTTTGGGGGGCCTCTATGGGCCGACTTGGGGCCCGCTTGGAATGCTCCAGGGCCGTCTTGGAGGCCATCTTGGGCGTCTGGGAGGCCATCTTGGGCGTGTTGGAGGCCTCTTGGGCCCTCTTGGGGCCCTCTAGGGGCCATCTTGGAGGCCACTTGGGCCATCATGGGGCTCTCTTGGGGGCCTCTTGGGCGATCTTGGGGGCTTCTTGGGCCGTCTCGAGCCGTCGGAGAGCCGAAAAGGCGCAAATGCCAGAATCCTTCAAAAACCAATGAAAAATCAATGATTTTGGCCTCTTCGGACTCTCCTAGAGGACCTCTTGGAGGCCTCTTGGGCCGTCTGGGAGGCCTCTGGGGGGCCTCTTGGGCCGTCTTGGGCCGTCTTGGACTCTCTTGGGCCGTTTTGGAGGCCGTCTTGGACCATCTCGGGCGGACTTGGAGGCCATCTTGGGCCATCTTCGCGATTTTTTGAGGATGTCCCGAGCGAAACGGCCGTTTTTTGGAGGATTGTTTTTCCGGATTGAGGTCCTTTCAGCTTCCTCCCGGGACCCGGCGGGTTCTGCCGGAGCCCACTGGGGAGTTCTTTGGGAAAAAGAACCAAAACCAAAACCTGAAACATCCAGCACGCCGTGCACCCCTGCAAGCAGGGGGCGGCGGATCGAAGACGCCTACGGCGAATCACCGCCGCCCCCTGCCTTTTTGGAAACGCCGATGTGGCCGAAAGTTGGACTAGAGCTTGGCCAAGCTATCGGACCATGAGTTCCCCGAGTCGGTTTGGAAAGCTTTCGGGGAACACATGGGAGAGAATGATTATGAACAGGAAGAGGAAGAGGAAGAAATAGAGTAGGAGGATGAGGGTTGTTAGGAGTCTCTTGGGGCACCCTTGGGGTCTGTTGGGGGCTTCTTGGGGGCCTCTTCGAGGCCTCTTGGAGGCATCTTGGGGGCCTCCTTGGGCCTCTTGGGGGCCTTTGGGGGCTTCCTGGGGGTCTCTTTGGCCGTCTTAGGGCGTTCCTGGTCCGTCTGACGCCGTCTGGAGCCGTCTTGGGGGCCTCTCTGGGCCGTCTTGGGGCCCTCTTGGGGCGCTTCAGGGCCGTCTTGGAGGCCATGTTGGGCGTCTTGGAGGCCTCTTGGGCCGTCTTGGGGCGCTCTTGGGGCCGTCTTGGGGGGCCCTTGGGCCGTCATAGGGCCTTCTTGGAGGCCTCTTGGGCGATCTTGGGGGCCTCTTGGGCCGTCGGAAGGCCGAAAAGAAGAAAACGCAAAAAACCTTCAAAAACCTAAGGAAAACCAATGATTTTGGCCTCTTCGGGCTCTCCTGGAGAACGTCTTGGAGGCCTCTTGGGCCATCTTGGAGGCATCTTGGGGCCATCTTGGCCGTCTTGGAGGGCATCTTGGGCCGTCTTGGAGGCATCTTGGAGCCATCTTACCCGTCTTGGAGGCCATCTTGGCCGTCTGGGAGGCATCTTGGAGGCCATCTTGGGCCATCTTGGCCGTCTTGGAGGCCATCTTGGGCCAAGTTGGGGCAACAAAGGCATTGACAGACGGATTTTGGGAAAATTACGGGTGGCCGGCGGGACGGGCCGAAGCCCACTGAGGAGTTCTTTTAGAAAAAGAACCAAAACCAAAACCTGAAACGTCCAGCACGCCGTGCACCCCTGCAAGCAGGGGGCGGCGGATCGAAGACGCCTACGGCGAATCACCGCCGCCCCCTGCCTTTGTGGAAGCGCCTATGTGGCCGAACGTTGAGGCCAGACCTGCCAAGCCATCGGACCATGTGTTCCCCGAATCGGTTTGGAAAGCCTTCGGGGAACACGTGGGCGTCTTGATGGTCATCGTCGTCGTCTTGGAGGCCTCTTGGGCGATCTTTCGGCGATCTTTGGGGGCTCTTGGGCCGTCTCGGGCCGTCGGAAGGCCGAAAGAAGGGAAATGCCCAAATCCATCAAAAACCTTGGGAAAATCAGTGATTTTGGCATCTTTTGGCCTTCCTGGAGGCCCTCTTGGGGGCCTCTTGGGCCCTTTTGGGCCAGCTTCGAGCCAACTTCGGCCATCTTGGTGGGTTCCTGGCACGTCTGACGCCGTCGGGAGCCGTTTTGGGGGCCTTTCTGGGCCAACGGGGGACCCTCTTGGGGCGCTCCAGGGCCGTCTTGGAGGCCATCTTGGGCGTCTTGGAGGCCATCTTGGGCGTGTTGGAGGCCTCTTGGGCCGTCTTGGGGCCCTCTAGGGGCCATCTTGGAGGCCACTTGGGCCATCAGGGGGCTCTCTTGGGGGCCTCTTGGGCGATCTTGGGGGCTTCTTGGGCCGTCTTGAGCCGTCGGAGAGCCGAAAAGGCGCAAATGCCAAAATCCTTCAAAAACCAAGGGAAAATCAATGATTTTGGCCTCTTCGGACTCTCCTGGAGGACCTCTTGGAGGCCTCTTGGGCCGTCTGGGAGGCCTCTGGGGGGCCTCTTGGGCCGTCTTGGGCCGTCTTGGACTCTCTTGGGCCGTTTTGGAGGCCGTCTTGGACCATCTCGGGCGGACTTGGAGGCCATCTTGGGCCATCTTCGCGATTTTTTGAGGATGTCCCGAGCGAAACGGCCGTTTTTGCGCACGGTGGCGGGTTCTGCCGGAGCCCACTGGGGAGTTCTTTTGGAAAAAGAACCAAAACCAAAACCTAACAGCTCGTCCAGCACGCCGTGCACCCCTGCAAGCAGGGGGCGGCGGATCTAGTGGCCTTCGGCTCATTCCGCCACCGCGCCTAGGTTGTAGGTCAGAGGCCTCGCAGCTGCCCCGTGGAGAGCTCTTGGGAGGCCTCTCGGGAGCTTCCTGGAAGCGGTGGTGTGGCCTCGTTGTGGCCTCTTGGGGCCTGACGTGGGCCTCCCGACGGCCTCTTGGGGGGCGCCTTCAGAGCCTCCGCTGCACAAAGCATGTACATCTGCACGTGCAAAAACATCCTGCGCACATACGCTCCAGAGGCCTGCGCGGACCTGTCGGGCCGGAACCGAACGCCCCCTGCTTCTTGGGGCCCCTTGCTGGTCTCAGAGATTTGCGCTGACCTCCAACAGCATACAGTCGGGGCCCTGCAGAAAAAACCTTTTTCGTTGGGGACGGGCTCCGCGTTCATTAAGTGTTTCGCAGCTTGCCTCAGGTTGTCCTTATGTATTCGATCGGAAATCGAAGTTTAACTTATGGAAAAAAGGGGCCTCGTTCCTTATTTCGGGTTCCTTAGGTCAACGCCCCGACTGTAATGATTCTGGCTGTAAAGACCTTCACGGCGGCGGCGGCGGCGACGGCGGCGACGACCACGGGGACGACGATGGGAACGAGGACACAGTCGCCGCCCGCCCTCATCGGAGGGGGACCACGTGCTTTTTCTTTCAGCGGAAGACAGACGTACGGTAGGTTCATGCGGCGATGGCGCGGCAGCGACGTTGGCGAGGCGGTCAAGGTTGAATTCTTTACGCTTCGCGTATCCCCACCAGCCCATCTCACAGCAGCAACTCTCGCGAAGCATGCCGACAGTCGTGTTTTTCAGGCGTGTGTCCGCTGGGCTCCGCATATCTCCCCTGTTCCTTCTTTCTCCCGCCTCCTTGTACATCCGCCTTGTGGGGGGAGCGGGAGAAGGACGAGGCGAAGGAGGAGGGAGGGAAAGCGCTCCTCGTGGTTTGAGTCGTTTGGGGTTTCTCGTCCTGGTCTGAGTCGTTCGGGCCCTTCTTCCTGGTGTGAGTCGTTCGGGCTCTTCGTGGTGTGAGTCGTTCGGGCTCTTCGTCCTGGTGTGAGTCGTTCGGGCTTCTCGTGGTGTGAGTTGTTCGGGCCCGTCGTCCTGGTGTGAGTCGTTCGGGCTCCTCCTCCTGGTGTGACTCGTTTGGGCTCCTCGTGGTGTGAGTCGTTCGGGGCCCGCGTCGTGGTGTGAGTCCTTCGGGCTCCTCGTGCTGTGAGTCGTTCGGGCGCCTCGTCTTGGTGTGAGTCGTTCGGGCCCCTCCTTGTGGTGTGAGTCGTTCGGCCTCTTCGTGGTGTGAGTCGTTCGGGCCCCTCGTCCTGGTGTGAGTCGTTCGGGCTCCTCGTGGGGCCTCTTGGGAGCCTCTTGGGGGCCTCTTGGGGCCTCTTGGGCGCCTCTTGGGAGCCTCTTGGGGGCCTCTTGGGAGCCTCTTGGGGGCTCTGCGGGCCTCGTGGGAGCCTCTTGGGTGCCTGTTGGGAGCCTCTGGGGGCCTCTTGGGGGCCTCTTGGGAGCCTCTTGGAGGCCTCTTGGGAGCCTCCTGGGGGCATCTTCGGGCCTCTTGGGGGCTTCTTGCGACCTTCTCAGAAGCGCAAATGAGCGCTACCCCCTGAGAAGGAAAAAATGAGCCCAAAACCTTCGTAAAATCAATGATTTTGAGAAGAAGGAAGAGGAGCGCTGCCCCCTCAGAAGGCCAACATGGGGCCAAAACCATAGTAAAATCAATGATTTTGGCTTCACAGACGAGGAGAGGGTTTTTTCTGTGTCCCCCCGACGGGGCCAGAATCCTCGTGAGGGTCGTCGTTTTTTGGCCCTCCCAGGGGTCGAAAAAGACCCCCCTGAGAACACCCCGGAGTCCCTGTCCAGGCCCAGGGGGAGGGGGGAGGGGGAGGGGTAAACCCCTCCCCGAAGGGGAAGAAGGGGGGTTGAGAACAGAGAGAGCTCCCTAAACCACTCACGCCCAAAGGGCTGGTGGGATTCTGGGACACGGCGACGCCACTGGACCTGATGGAAGTCTGTCTTGAACGATCGGGTGGTCGAGATCCAAGGTTTAACGATCGTTGCAGTGTCAAAATCATTTGCGCGCGCCGACGCCGCACGAACCTACCGTATGTGTTCACGATGAGTTGCCGTGGGTTTCGAACGTGTCGTTGCGCAAGCGTTCGCAACACGAGGCTGACCTCGCGGAATCGGGGGCCGTGCCCATGTAACATGCCTGAGCGCGTGCGTCTTAGGTTCCCTATCCCTGTTGGGGTGGGCGGCGGCAAAGGCGGGCTGTTGTGAAGTCCGCCCCCTCCTCTATTTGCCTTCTCGTCCTCCCCTTCTCATTGTCTTACGGCGTTTTCCTCCAGCTCGCTATTCAGGTGCCGAGTTTCGGGCCTGGCGCTGTCAGAGACAGTTGGCAGCGACAATTCGGTCTTGGAGATGGGGTGGAGACCTCCAGGGGCCTCCTCCTCCTCCTCCTCCTCCTCCTCCGCCTCCTCCTCCACCTCCTCCTCCTCCTCGTCCTCCTCATCCTCCTCCTCCTGCTCCTCCTCCGTCTCCTCCTCCTCCTCCTCCTCCTCCTCTCCTCCTCCCCCTCCTCCTCCTCCTCCTCCTCCTCCTCCTCCTCCTCTCTTCCAGTCGCGGGAGTGCGATAGATCGTGTTCCAGAGAGTGGCGATGGGAGCGGGGTAGATCTTGTCCCTCGCTAGCTGCGAGACCACATCGAGAGGCCCTTGCTCGAGGAGGGTTCGTCTGCTGCCGCTGTTCCTGCTCCCCCTCCACGCCCTCGTTGCCCTCGTCCGTCTTCCCCTCTTCCACAGTACAGCTTCAAAGACCTTGTAAATCAAAGTAATTGGGAGGTCCTCAGTGGACTTGGCCCTTGTGGGTCTGGCCCACAGCGGCCATCTTGCCGTGGCGCTTTCCGGTCTCTCATTAGCCTTGTTCTCCGAGCCTGCAGTTGTGGTAGAGCAAGGTTCATTTGGGGCTCCCACTGTGGGGCTGTCTTCCATCCCGCCGTCGTCAGGCGCGCACGGGAGGTCGCACGCCTTTGATTGGAGAGGCCTGACGGCCGGTGCCGCCGACCCTGATCGAAGGGGCTTCCTGGGGGCTTTTTTAATGGTTTCGCAGCCGCCGCCTCCTCTCTTTTTTCCTGGCCCATGGGGGCTTAGAAATTGGGGGGAAGCAGGAGGAGAAGGGAGATGGAGGGGCCGCGCCATTCGCCTGCAATGCCCTTGCTTTTACATGAGGGCGTGGGTCCCCACCGTCCTCTTCCTCCTCGCCCGCCCAGTGGTCGTTAGAGCCCGCGGCGCTGGCCAGGACCGCTTCTCCAAGGACGCCCAGAAAATGCAGGAGCTAGGGCCAGCGGGTTCCCCAGCCTCCTACACGGCACACTCTTCCTCCTCCTCCCCTTCCTGCTCTTGCTCCTGCTCCTGCTCCTGCTCCTGCTCCTGCTCCTGCTCCTGCTCCTCTTCTTGCGTGTGTGTGTGTGTGTGTGTGCCGCGCGCGAGGCAGAAGGCAATTCTCCCCTCCCTCGTCCTCGCTCCTCCTCCTCCTCCTCCTCCTCCTCCTTGCTCCTCTTTGCTCCTCCTCGCTCGTCGCCATTCCTCGCTCCTTCTCCTCCTCCTCCTCTTCTTCCTGTTCTTCCTGTTCTTCCTCATGCCTAGACTGCCACCGCTACAACACTGGTGGCAGAATTGCCAAGCTCTCCCAATTTTGCAACAAAGCTAAGGATGGTGCAGGTCGCACGGTTTGGAAGTACGTGTGTTCAGGCAGGCGCCCGCAGCAGACGAAGAGGGAGAGGAATTTTCAGTTCTTGCCATCGCCCTGGTCCCCTAAACCTGGGGGCATGCAGCCGCGGAGGTTAAACACTCCTTCTTCCTCCTCTCTCATCGTTCCTCCTCGCCCATCGCCCCTCTTCCTCCTCGAGCCCCTGGCCCCGGGCAGCGGATCCCACGGGGGGAGAGCTCGCGGGAGCGGCCAAGAGGGCGGTGAGAACTAGGGGAGCGGATATTGTTGAAGCTGTCCGTTGCTATGCTCCCCGCTTCCCCTGCTTCCGCGGCCTTTCCGCTCCGGCGGCCCCGACGAGGGGCCGGCGGGGCTGCCTTGGCCACGTGTGCTGGGCGAGCGCCCTGCATCCACTCACCATCCCGCGCGCGAGGAAGACGACCATCACATCGACAGCCATCATGGCCTGATGAGGCTTCGGGATGAGCACACCGAGCCGGTAGACTCGGCTGTCCCCAACAGGCCCCCCGAGTCAGTCCCAGGCCCCCCAGGTAGTCTGGGGCGGGCTCGGACACCCGCCTCTTGGGCGCCCCCGAGGGTTGGGCACGACCGTGCCCTCCTCCTCTTCCGCCTCCTCCTCCTCCTCCGCCTCCTCCTCCTCCGCCTCCGCTTCCTCCTCCTCCCCCTCCTCCTCCTCCGCCTCCCCCTCCACCTGAATGGAGTCGGTGCGCCTCCAGCGTGGGCGACTGAGCCGGGCGGGATCAAGAGCACCAGTGACGCGCTCGCCGTCTATCAACTTGTTGGTGTTGCCCATTCCCATTTCTGGCCCAGGATGCCGGCGACATCATTCACGAATCGCGTTTCGTGGCAGTGTATCCCCGTTCTGCTTCCGCTACCTCCCCTGGCTCGGATACGTTTCATGGGTGAATTCGTATCGCCACATTTTCCCCTCCTGTGAAGCAGTGGCGAAGGGTCCTGGCTTGCCGAGAGGCCCACCAAATCATGTTCTAAGAAACTTTTGTGGTCTGTACGAAATGCTCTTAGAACATTTCTGGCTGAGACTGTCTTGGTGTGTTTCCTCGGGTTAATGTTCTAATAGCATGGCTTTTCTTATTCGAATTTAGGTGGTTCTAAGAACATATCGTGGTAGGCCTCTAGGAATACTGGGGCGGTCGGTCCCTGCTCAATCTTGGCCTCCCACGATGGACAAAGTGGCGAGTGGCTCTTCGATTCGGCGGTTGCGCATAGTTACCGCATCTTACCCATTCGACGTTCGAGCAAAAGCTGGTACGTTCTCAACAGTAACACGCCGGTGGTATCGTCCGACCGGCGTGACAGTGGTATTGTTTTTTCGGGAGCCTTGAGACGGGGGTCAGTGCAAACGGGGGTCAGCCAGGGCACCGGATCCTACAGGATCTTGCGAAGACCCCCTCTGGCTGACCCGGGTTAGCGAGCCGCTCGTGGCCGCGAGGCGGCCGCGCGTATTGGTTGACCCGGGTTTGCGAAGACCTGCGTTGCAATTTTGTTCTTCTTGCATTGCAGTTTTTTGATTTCCTGCTGACCCGGGTCTGGATTGACCCGGGTCAGAAGATCCCCGAGTTTTGACCTGCGAGTGAGGGGGGGAGCCAGAGTGACCCCAAGTGGTCCCTGCGCAAAGGTGGCACCCAGTGGGGCCCTTTGGGATGCCACCGCTGGGGGCGCCTTCTCGGGTTCCGCCGTGGCCCGCCTCGTGGCCCTCTTCGGGGTGTCACGAAGCGCCACGGCACCGCCGACAAAGCCCCGACGCTCGTTGTCGCGCTGCGCCGCCCCTCGATAAGTGCACGTACCGAGTGGCGCGGGAAGCGGCATTGGCCACGATGTGCCAGCTGCCAGCGGGGTTCAGGGCTCCACGGGGGTGGGGCCTATCATTCCCAGCCAATGGTCTGCCATAGCGAGCTTCACGCCCGAATGTGCAATTGGTCTGCGTGGTTCTTTCGGGCCGTCGCCCTCTCCTGTCATCCTCCTCTATTGCTGCTGCTGCTGCTCCTCCTCCTGCGCCTCCGCGGGCTTCCGTTCCATTGCGTGGCCCCTCCCCTCTTTGCTTCCCCTCTCGGACACCTTCCCTGTGGCCGGGGTGGGGTGGTCGCCCCCTCCCCAGCAGGAGATGCCCCCCTACATCGGCTGGACCCGGAGCGCGCCGAAGCCCACGGGGCAGCCCCCGCCTGCTCTTCCCCTCCGGAATCTGATCGCCTTGTCAGGAGGGTCAGGGGAGCGGCACGAGCAGGAGGGCCAGGGGGGCGAGGGGGCGGGGGGGATGGGGAGACTGAGGGTGGCAGGGGGAGGACGAGAGGGGGGGAGGGAGAGAGGGAGAGGGACAAGCAAGGTGCGCAAGCGTCATATCCGACGTCCTACCCCTTCCTCCCATCCCCTACCATTGCGTAGATATCCTCCCTATTCGTACAGTCGGATGTCGAACAAGGCAATGGTCTCGAGAGAGTACTCGATGCATGGTATAGCACGGCATAGCATGGCATAGAAGAGCATGGCCACAGCCGACGTCGTCGTGTCGAGAACGCGATTCCGTTCGACGTCAAGGTCAGAGGTAAATCGGAAATGGCACGGGACGGGAAATGCAACTGGACGGTTTGGAAAACGGGAAGCACAAACATAGATCAGCGTTGCAGAGGGAGCACGATTTCGAAGACCGAAACCGCCAAACTGAGACCAGCGCTGCAATGGGAGCACGATTTGGAAGGATTGAAAGCGCGGAACCGAAGCCAACGCTGCAGCAGGAGCACGATTCGGAAGACCGGAAGCAATGGCATGAGATCAGCGCTGCAGCGGCTACACGATCTGGAAGGACTGAAAACGGGAAATTGGAGCAAACGCTGTAATGGGAGCGCCATTTTGAAAGGATTGAAAACGTCTGGAATGGAACAACACATAGTAATTCTCAATTCGGCTGCATCCTGTGTGTAAAAGCCTTGCGCACAGGAGGCCAGGACACCTCACCGCCGTCTTCGGAGGAGAGAGGAGAGTAGCATTCACATCGTATATTTGTAGAAAGGGGAGAGTAACGGGGAAGAAGAGGCGGAGGAGGAGGAAGAGGAGGAGGAGAATGGGAGAGGCAAAAGGTGCAGGAGGGGAGGGAGGAATGGGAAAAGGGGATGGATTGTGGGGGGGGCTGGCAGGAGAGGGGATGAGTTGGATGGGCAGGTGGGGGAGGTTGGGGAGGAGCAGGGAGGATACTGAGGAGTACGAGGAGGGGGTAGGAGGGAGGAAACGGAAGGATTGAGCAAGAAAAGGGTAAGGTGAGGGGGACGAGGGAGAGGGCAGGGGCAGGGGCAGGGGGAATCAGGGAGTCCGGGCATGAGGAGGAGTACTCCGGCCGGGAGTGGCCTCAGGCGACTCTTGGCCGGTCTCTTCCCCACCTTCCATATCGGGATTCCAACGCCACGGATCAACCTGACTGCTGCGTCTTAACGATCCGGAATCGTGCCACACCGCCATTCTTGGGACTTCATCACCGCGAATCAAGGTACTGTTGCAACCTCATAATCTTGAACCTTCTCAAAACACAAGTTCTGGTGCGCTGATACTGAGAAAGAGTTCGAACTCTTGAAAATGTAACAAAAGCGAATGCACGCGGCGCGAAGTCGAGAGCCACACTGTGAGAACGGGCCGCCCTCGATCCGTGCAAAAGTGTTACAAACGAAGGCACGCGGCGCTGAGGCGAGAGCTACGTTTTGAAAACGAGCCGCCCTCCATTCGTCTGGCTCTTGCACAAGTTTGAAAACGAATGCGTGCGGCGCTAAGGCGAGAGCGTCATTTTGAGAACGACCCGCCCTCCATGTGTGAAGCGGTTGCCACTCTTCAAGCTTCAGGGTCATAAATGGCAAGGAATTTTCAGGCGAAACGCCTGGTCCGCCCTAGAAACTGGCCTCGGGGTGCGACAGGGAGAAGTTGTTTAGAAGGACAAGGAATGGAAAAAGGGGCAGGGGTGGTAATAGGAGGAGGAGGAGGAGGAGGACCTGAGTGAACTCAGGATGCATCAACGCTGCTGCAATGCCTCTCCCGTCAAAGGTCTTGTGGAGCACTGGAACAGAAGCATCCCTACCACGCGTTGGCACAGGCGTGCGCGCCAGCAGGCCCCGTCATTCAACGAGCGTGTTGGGAAAGATCTGCGACCGTTCCTCATCACTGCGGGCAGCGTCTCCCGTGTAAGAACAGGTTCCGTGGGCCTGCCATTCCGGCGAGATCTCCCTCTTTGTGAAGGATCGGCGTTGCACCTTTCCAGCCATGAGAAGTGCAGAAAGGTAGGGTCAGACAGTTCAAGGAAGTGAAGCCTCCAATTAGCGTCTTCAGATGGGTAACGGAAGCAAAGGGGGTCGACTGCGCCGACACTCGCGCGTGAGCTGCCCGAGTAGTGTCGCGCGTAGGCGCTCTCGTTTCCAAGACAGCTAGCCACGGTGGCGGCACGCGTAAACCGTGGCGTAAGGTCGCTATGTAGTCTCGCGCAAGACCCATTTTTCGTCGCCAGCACAACCTCAGAAGCGAGGGCCTCCCAGGAACCTCTTGAGTGACGCAGTGAGGTCCCCGACACGAAACCTCCGAACATATTGTGAGCCTATCATGGAAGCAGCTGCGTCAGACGCGGCATCGGCATCGCTCGCGACCAGTATTCGGCTCAGCTACTCGCCGCCCCGAGGAGGGGCGCCTCCCGCAGAAACACTACAAGTAGTAAAGCTACCCCAGCGCCAAGCAACCTGATAGCAGGGTGGCCGCGTGCTGTGCCGTGCCGTGTTGTGCCAGACTTGGGCTCCAGCTCACTTCGGCGTGTCGTGTCGGTTCGGTCTGTCGGCCCAGTTCGTGCCAGTTCTGCGGATCCGGTCGGTCCAGAAGAGTCAGATGGTTCCGCTTCAGCCGATGGCCGCCCGCGCCGCCGCCCGCGCCACCGTCGTGGCCGTTCTGTGAGAGCAGCGAGGGTGAAGAGGCGGGTCGAGGAGCATCGAAGGTCGGTAGACCTCCTACCCTTACACGTCGATTACGGACGTGGCCGTTTTCAGTTCGCGAGAGGGCGTCGCGGCCGTCATTTTTTGCGGGTCCAGGTCCGTCGGTTTGGGTCCTGGGCCGTCTTCACTGAAGGGGAGGTTCACGAACGGGAGGTCTGTCCACCGCCGAGAGTCGGAGGTCGGCCAGTGAAATCGTGTCGGGGCAGAGCACGGCCACGTGCACCCGCAGCGTATGTTTTACACGGGGTCGTGGCCGCCCGGGCGAAACATGTAGCCGGCATGGGGGCGAGAGCGCGATGCGTGAATATAACGCATAAGGAAGCCGCGGGCGAAGGCCGCTGGATCAAAAACGACCCCGGGGGGCGGTCTCGGGCTCCTCCCCGCCCGCCCATGTCATGTCGGAATCTTCTTTGTGGTCCTTCGCTCGCTTCTGCCAGAGCCCTTGATGGGCTTGTTTTCCACCACCACCATAAGTTGAAGGGGGAGGGGGTCCTCCTCCTCGTCCTCCTTCTCCTCCTCATCCTCCTCCTCCTCTTCCTCCTCTTCGTCCTCTTCCTCCTCCTTCTTCTCCTCCTCCTCCTCCTCCTCCTCCTCCTCCTCATCCTTCCCCCCCTCCAACTTCTGGTGCTGGCAGAAAACAGGCCATCAGCCCTCTCCCAAACGAGTGGGACTGATACACGTGCAGCAAGAATGCACAGAAGAGGACAGGCTGCACCCTCCAGCGCCGCCCCTGCCGCCCGCCGCCTTCGGACCCCCGGCCCCGGCGGGGCCGCAGGCCCGGGTGCCACCCGCGCTGCGAGTGGCAGGCGGCGCGTGGGCCGCCCCGCAGACTCCCTGCGGGGGGTGGGAGGGGTGCCGGGGGGGGGGGGGGGAGGGCCAAGGGGGGGAGATCGGGGGCAAGCCAGCTTTCAGGCAGGTGAGTGCGTAAGCCAGCTTTTGGTACTCGAAAGTCCCGAACCGAACGCGGCAGGAAAAGTGACGTCGAGCCATCTTGCGCTTTGATCCTTGGGGTGCCGAGGTCTAGGGAAGGGCCAAGGGCGCGTGGGCGTGTGGGGGCGGGGGGACCTTAGGGGGGAGGGGGGGGGGACCAAGGGGGGCATCAGGGGCAATGGCAGTGGGGATAGGCTGAGGGGGAACGCATCGACCCCCAATCGCCCTCACCAGTGGGAGACTGCTGGCCCCACCCCGCCCAGGAGCGCGCGGAATCCCCGCAGGGGGGGTGGAGGGCCAAGAGGGTGGACGGGACGGAAGGGGGGGGGGGGAGCGGGACAGAGGAGGAGGAGGAGGGGAGGAGGAGGAGGAGGAGGAGGAGGAGGAGGAGGAGGAGGAGGAGGAGGATGGGGGGGGGGCGAAGTCTGCTGCACCGTGCAGCTGGTCTCGGCCCCGGCGCCGGGCGCTCTCCTCGATCCACATGGCGCCTCCGGCGCCGGGGGGCGCCAGCCACGTGAGCCGGTCCGCCCATCCGCCCTGAAGTGTCAGGAGGGGGAGAAGCACACAGACACACTTCATTCGGGGGAGCGTAAGACCCGGGTTTGCCAGGACTCGGGTTCGCCATCGTTTTTTGACGACCGCGCCTCGGATTTTGACGAGGAGGAGTTTCGTGGGATGTCTGCAGCGGGAGGCCTCGTCAAAATGCAGGCTCGGCCTCGTCAGTTTTTTGACGACCTCGTCGGGGATTTCCGAGTCCCCTGTACCCGGGTCTTACGTCCCCTTGATTCATCGTCGACTCCCAGGAAAAGATATGGGAAAACATGGGAAGTGGGGGGGGGGGGAAGACGAAGACCCAGGGAACATGGGAACACATCGGGAAGCCTGTTATTTGTGTCCATTTGTCTGCGTGTCCCAGGGCCCCTTCAGAATAGCCCCCCCCCGTCGTCCGAACCGACAGAGGAGGATAGGGGGAGGGCGGAGGCCCTCCCCGCTCGCGCTCGCGCGGCCGCTCGAGCCAGAGGTATGTGAAGCTCGTGGCTCGTTGAGGGGGGACAGGGGTGAGGCTCTTCTTCAAGCAGCATCAGGAGCAGGAAGAGGAGGAGGAGGAGGAGGAGCAGGGGGAGCAGGAGGAGCAGGAGGAGGATCTTGGAGGGTTGTGCTAGAGAGTGGTTCCATATGAGCTACGCAAACGCAAGGTTGTCTGCGCTGGCACTTACGCGTAAGCTGCCCCCAGTAAGGTCGCGCGTGAGCGCCATCGTGTCCACTGTAGCGTGTAGCGATGGCGGCCCGCGTAAGCCAACGTGTAAGGTCGCCAAGCCATCTCGCGTAAGACCCGTTTTTGATTGTCGCTCATGCGGTTTCATTGAATTGGCTAATGTGATTATGCTTGGTTTTGAGGTGCTATTTTTCGCACAGCTGTGCTGTAGAGCTCGGAGCCCTCCATGTCCGTTTCATGCCTTTCGTCGGTTGTATTCGGTCTTGCCCCCTTGCCTTGGCGCGCCCTATGGTCCCCCTCTCTCGGTCGAGGCCCTCTCCCCCCTCGCTCCGGGGCTTCCGTTTCTCTGGTCCAGGACCTCTCCCTTCCCCCTCTGCCCCCCCGACCCCTAATAAGTTTTCTAAGCCTTCCCCGAAGGCAGAAAAGCATTCTCAGAAGGCGCGAGGGCTTCTGAGAAGTCCCGCCGCCTTCTGAGAAGGCCTTCTCCTTCTCACTTCCCCCCCTCGCTTCTTCGCCAGCTCTCTTTCGGCTTCGGGTTCAGGGCCCCTTCCTCCTGGCTCGCCGACCCCCTTGATTTTCGTTTCGCGGCCGTCGGCGCCGCGTCCCACTCCTGGCCGTTCGACCTCGGCGCCCCCCCCCCCCCCCCCCCCATGCCGCTAGCGTGCCCACCCCCTCTCCCCCGGGGGTCCGGGGGGCCCTCCCCCTTGGGCAGCCCATCGTGGCCGTGGCCCTCCTCCCTGAAGCGCCCACGGCCCCCCCCAGCCGGCCCCGCCCACCTCCCCCGGGCCCCCCCCCGCCCTTCCCTCCTGGCCGAGGCCCCCCACCCTGGCCGCGGCCCTCTCCCCTCTGGTCCAGGGCCACTCCCGCGTGCCCCCTCCCCCCCCCCCTCTGGGCCGTTGCCCTCTGCCCCCGGGGTCAAGCCCTCCCCTGGTCCAGGGCCTCCCACCCACGCCTCTCCCCTGGCCCCCCGACCCCTCGACTCTCCCGCACAGCCGTGTTCTTGAGGTCGGGGCCTCTCTCTTGTTCGTCGACGTTCGTTCGTTCGTCGTCCTCCGGGCCTACCCCCTTGTCTCCCCCAAATGGCCCCACGAGAGTATCGGGATAGTCACAAGAGCCACCTTCTCCTCACCCTGGTTCCTCTCGCATTCGGCCTCGCTTGTGCAGGATCCAGGGCATGCGTGCCACTTGTTTTTGGGAGTTCTGGTGGTGGGAGGTGGAGGACGAGAGCTGGGAGGGCGATAGCTCGATGGTTCGAGTGGGCGAGGGAGGGGGAGGGGGAGGGTGGGAAGGGAGGGAGTGAGGGAGAGAGGGGGCGAGGGAGAGACAAGGGACAAGGAGGAGGGAACATGCGATAGGGAGGGTCGGAGGGGACACGAGGAGTGGAGGTTGCGAGGGAGGAGTGGAGGGAGGGGGGGATTAGGTTCATCGCTCGGCTCCCTGACGAGCTCGTAGGTCTCCTTCAGATATCAATTCGTCCCTCGCCCCCCGCTCCCCTCCTCCCCCATCGCCAATCACGATTTCGTTCACGGCATTGACTAAATCACTCATCCTGCTCAGTTACGTGTGTTATTGAGTGCGTGCGATTGCAGAATCGATCTTGATAGGCCTTGATTACATACACCCACATGTGCACTTACGCCATCCCCTTTCATCGCTTATTGCTCTTTGCATTGCCGCTCGTATCATCGGCACATGGTGTGTGTGTGCTTGTGCATGCGTACATTGCTTCCATCGTCAATACTATGAGCGCGTCGTCGGGTAAAAACACGGATGGATAGGGCAACCGCTTGTTGCATATCGGGCGCCATCATTCTTATCCGTCAGGGCGTCGCCCCCTGCCGCCGGCCCCCTCTCCCGGAGAATGGGCCATTGGGCGCCGCCGTGAAGCAGTGTCGGGACCTGTTTGTTTTTCGACCCTGACCCCACGGATCTGCGTCACGGGTGCCACCGGATTTCAGAACTATGGCAGATCCCATGTGTTTTTGGACCTTGACCCTACGGATCTGCGTGGGGGGTGCCGCCGGATTTCAGAACTGTGGCAACTCCCCTCTGTTTATGAACCCTGGCACCGCCGATCTGCGTGAGAGGTGCCGCCGGATGTCAGAAACGTTGCAACTCCCTTGTGTTGTTGGACCCTGACCCCGCCGATCTGCGTGAGGGGTGCCGCCGAATTTCAGAACTGTGGCAAATCCCATGTGTTTTTGGACCCTGACCCCGCGGATCTGCGTGAGGGGTGCCACCGAATTTTTACAAGTCTGGCAAACCCCGTATGTTTTTGCACCCTGGCCCCGCCGATCTGCGTGAGGGGTGCCACCGAATTTCTGAACTGTGGCAAATCCGTTGTGTTCTTGGATCCTGACCTTTCGGATCTGCGTGAGGGGTGCCGTTGAATGTAAGAAATGTAGCAAATTCCTTATGTTTATGGACCCTGACCCCGCCGATCTGCGCGAGGGGTGCCACCGAATGTCAGAAATATGGCAGATCCCATGTGTTTTGAACCCTGACCCCGCCGATCTGCGTGAGGGGTGCCACCGAATTTCACAAATGTGGCAAATCCCATGTGTTGTTGGACCCTGACCCCGCCGATCTGTGTGAGGGGTGCCACCGAATTTCAGAATTGTGGCAAATCCCATGTGTTGTTGGACCCTGACCCCGCCGATCTGCGTGAGGGGTGCCACCGAATGTCAGAAATGTGGCAAATCCCATGTGTGTTCTGGACCCTGACCCCGCCGATCTGCGTGAGGGGTGCCACCGAATTTCAGAATTGTGGCAAATCCCATATATTGTTGGACCCTGACCCCGCCGATCTGCGTGAGGGGTGCCACCGGATTACAGAATTGTGGCAAATCCCATGTGTTTTTTGGACCCTGACCCCGCCGATCTGCGTGAGGAGTGTAAATTTTTACCCACCCCAGCAATTCAGACAATACGATTTGGGCGTGGTAAAAATCCCCATTTTGAGCCTCCCCCCCTCGCGCGGTCCATCAACAAGGAACAGTAAGCAGCAAGGAGTCAACAAGGAACAGTAAGCAGCAAGAAGCAGAACTGTAACAGTGGAAACTGGAAGCTGCAACTGGTAAAGGAAACTGGAGGCGGCGGATTTGCGTTTGGCCATAATGTGAATGACTGACTCTCGGTGAGAACTGGGGTGAAATTCTACACTGCATGCAAGCGCGCACAGCTTGCGCCTAGAGTCTACACCATCCGCGTGCGCAAGAGCGGGCGGTGAGGGGGGAGGGGGGACGATCCGTGCAGAGGAGCAGAGGAGGACAGGAAGGTGGCGCTGGAATTGCTTGCGCGTGTTCAGGGTACGCGTCCGAGCGAGTGAGACGCGCGACGGGGGTCTCGCTTGGGCTGCCGCACTCATCCTTTGAAGGAGCGCATTCCCGGCGTGCTCATCGCGCGCAAATAGGAGAGCGAAACCACCTCGTGACCTCCTTTCCCTCTGCTGGCTGATGCAAATCCTCCTTTTCCTCCCCCTCCTCTCTCTATACAAAAGTGGGCGATCCTTCCAGAGGAGGCAAGCTCCTGGGCGCGGGCGTCACATGCGATAAACGTACTGCAGTGTTATTGATATACGGGCGTGTGCGTGTCTGCGTGTGTGGTCGTCTGTCTGTCTGTCTGTCTGTCTGTCTGTCTGTCTGTCTGTCTGTCTGTCTGTCTGTCTGTCTGTCTGTCTGTCTGTCTGTCTGTCTGTCTGTCTGTCTGTCTGTATGTCTGTGTGTCTGTGTGTCTGTGTGTGTGCCTGCGTGTGTGCCTGTGTGTGTGTGCCTGAGTGTGTGTGTCTGTGTGTGTTCAGCCCAAGCCGCGCGCCAAAGCAAACAATGCAGGCGGCGGTGGATGAGGAGGAAGTACGTGGGTGGGGCACGGTCCGTTGTGCAGCCACCCAACATCAACATACACCCCCCGCACGTTGCTCTTGAAAGCACCCAACCGTCAGGACCGGCCCCATTCCCGCACTGGTGGACCCAACCTTTGCACAAACACACGCGACGCAAGACAACCACGGCGCTGCACGCCCAGCGCTGCATGCAGCTCGTGCTGTATGCTCGCTGTCTGTCTCGGCGAAGGTGCGTGTCAGTCGGTTCCGGGTGGCGTGATGGGGCGCGCTTGCACCGCGCGACGCCGCACAAGGCTCACAGTAGCCTGTGAGAACGCGGTTGGGTGAGAGAGCGTATTTGAGCCATTCGTATGCGCGTGTGTAGGGCAAGGGGGACCACGAAGAGGGCAGGAAGCAGGGGCAGGAGGGACGGGGAGGGGAGGGAGAGGACGAATGGGGTGGGGAGGCAGAAGGCCAGGCAGGAGACTCAGGAAAGGGGAGCGGGGAGGGGAGGGAGGGGACGACGAGAACGACTAATAGGGGCTGGGGTCGGCGCCCCCGGCACGGAGCCAGAGGCTCCGGATGCCACGCCGCTACACGTCACAGCGCAGCACAGCGCAGCACGACCGCGCGCGTGCGCGTGTGTGGCAGCACATCACAGCACAACACAGCACATCAAGACACACCACAGCACGACACAGCACAGCACCGCACCATCACAGCACATCACAGCACATCACAGCACACGCCAGTTGGTGTGTGGGTGTGTGAGGGTGTCTGCGTGTGTCTACGTGTGCCTGTGTGTGTGTCTGTGTGTGTGTCTGTGTGTGTCTGCGTGTGTCTGTGTGTGTGTCTGTGTGTGTGTCTGTGTTTGTGTGCGTGTGTGGGTGTGGGTGTGCGTGTGTGTGTGTGTGTGTGTCTTTGTGTCTGTGTGTGGTGTCGGTGTGTGTGTGCGTGTGCGTGTTCGCGTGCGTGTGCGTGTGCGTGTGCGTGTGCGTGTGCGAGTGAGTGTGGGTGTGCGTGTGCGTGTGCGTGTGCGTGTGGGTGTGCGTGTGCGTGTGCGTGCGCGTGCGCGTGCGCGTGTGTGTGTGTGTGTGTGCGTGTGTGTGTGTGTGTGTGTGCGTGTGTGCGTGTGTACGTGTGTGTGCGTGTGTGTGTGGTGTGTGTGGTGTGTGTGTGTGTGTTGTGTGTTGTGTGTTGTGCGTGTTGTGTGTTGTGTGTGTGTTGTGTGTGGTGTGTGTGTGTGTGTTTGTGTGTGTGTTTGTGGGCTGTGGTTGTGGTTGTGGTTGTGGTTGTGGTTGTGGTTGTGGTTTTGGTTGTATGTGTGCGTGTGTGCTTATGCGTGTGCGCGGGGTTATGCGTGCGCGCGCGATTGCGCATGCGTGCGCGTGTGTGCAAGTTGTGTTTCGCTCGTTGGTTCAGTGGCTCTTTGGTACATTCTCCGAGTCATGTGTAGTCGCTCGCGCGCACGGGCGCCTCTTGGTGAGCAACCGCCGTACGTCCGCGATGCCCAGTATACATGTGTGCTCGCCTGCGCGGACCCGCTCTTCTGGGATGCCATCACGGTCCCGTGGCATTGGCGGAGGAGGGCGAGACGGATTGAGGTTAGGTTGTTTCGGTATGGCGCAGGTCGGGGTCCAGGAGTCTTGCTTCGACGCGTTATCGCGAGTGACTGGGTCAGCTTCTCACGTATCAGCACACGTTCAGTCTTGCTGTCTTTGTTCTTGCTCGGGAGCCGGCCCACAGTGCCCGCCCGCGACGGAGTGCGACCAGACCTGCCAGCCCTACTGCATGCCGCCTCTGTGTAAGGACTCGCCTGCTGTGTTGCTGCTGGTGCTCTTGTTTGAGTCGCAGTTGTGATAGCGGGTTATACGGGCATGCTACCACATTACGTGTTGCAGGTCCTGGCGTATGTCTCAGTCCGCCCATTCGTCGTTGTTTGTGTGATGCTAATTATGTTGTTCCCCCTTGTGTCTGTATGTGTATGGATCTAGGTTTGTTCTAGGTTTGTGGTTGATGTTTGTATATGTGTATATATGCGTGTGAATATAGATGCATAACAACTTATCAAAGACGCCTAAGACGAATCACCGCCATAGGAAGAGCCTATGTGGCCGAACGTTGCGGCCATAGCTCGGCTAAACTATCGAACCACGTGTTCCCCCAGCCGTTATGGGAACCATTCGGAGAGCACGAGGGGGAGAAACAAGAAGAGGAGGAGAGGGATGAAAAAGGAGGAGGATGAGGAGGCCTATTGCGAGCCTCTTGGGACATTGGCCTCCTGGGAGTTTCATTGGGGCCTATAGGTGTCATGTTTGGGGGCATCCTTGGGCCTCTCGGGGGCCTTCAGAGGCTCCTTAGGAAGCTCTTTGACCGTCTGAGGGCGTTCCTGGCCCGTCTGACGCCGTGGGAAACCGTCCTGGGGGCCTCTCTGGGCCGACTTGGGGCCCTCTTGGGGCGCTTCAGAGCCGTCACGCAGATCATTTCGGACGTATTGGAGGTTTCCTGGGCAGTCTTGGGGCCCTCGTGGGGTCGTCTTGGGGGCGTCTGGTGCTGCCTTGGGCCGTCGGAAAGCCGAAAATGAGCTGCCAAACTATGGCGAAAACCATGGGGCAATCAATGAATTGGGACTCTCTCCATGGGCGTTCTGAGGTCCTCTTGGAGGCCTGTTCGTCCCCTCATCCACGAATTCCTTTCCCTCTCTCCCCTTCCCGTGTGTCTTCGTCCCCCTCCCTTCTCCTCTTCTCCCCCTCCCCGTTCCCTCTTCCCCCTCACCTCCCCTCCCTCTGTTGCGCCCCCCTCCTCCTCCGCTCCCAGGCGGCCAAGAGCCCCAAGAAGCCCCACGAGGCGATTCGGAGGCCCCTGGCAAAGGGCCCCAAGAGAGGCCGCAAGTCCGCGAGTAACTACAGCCAGTCTCCCCCTCCCACCCGGCCTCGCCTCCTCCTCCCCCCCCTCCCCCTCCTCCCCCCCCCCTCCCCCTCCTCCTCCTCCCCCTCCTCCTCCTCTCCTCCTCCTCCTTCCCCCTCCTCCTCTCCTCCTCCCCCCTCCTCCTCCTCCTCCTCCTCCTCCTCCTCCTCCCTCCTCCTCCTCCTCCTCCTCCTCCTCCTCTCCTCTCTCCTCCTCCTCCCCTCCCCCTCCGCCTCTCGCTGAGCCCCCCGTCGCCGCTCCGCCGCCCGCGGAGACGTTCTGCGCGCGGCACGAGGCGGACTCCTGCGAGACGCGCTGCGGGCCCCCCCAGGCCAGGGCCCGCCCCGCCGGCTGCTGCTCTCCCCCCGGCGCGCCTGGTGATCCAGCGGAAGCTCGTGCCAAGAGGCGCCCCGCTCGCCTCCAGAGTGCCCCGGGCCTCCTCTTCCTCCTCCTCCTCCTCCTCCTCCTCCTCCTCGTCCTCCTCCCTCTCCTCCTCCTCCCTCCTCCTCCCTCCTCCTCCTCCTCCTCCTCCTCCTCCTCCTCCTCCCCTCCTCCTCCTCCCTCCTCCTCCCTCCTCCTCCTCCTCCTCCTCCTCCTCCTCCTCCTCCTCCTTCCTCCCACCTCCCTCCTCCTCCTCCCTCGCCCCTCCTCGCCCCCCGGTTGGATCCAGCGGAAGCTCGTGCCAAGAGGCGCCTTGCTTGCCTCCAGAGTGGCCCGGGTTTCCTGGGTTTCGATGGTTTTGCTGCGGAAGGCGTGGCGCTCCCGCACCAGAAGTCGATGGACGTCCTCGGGTCTCAGGGTTGGGCTTCTCGTGTAAGGTTTCTTGTGGTCGAGCTCTTACAGTACACGCTGTGCCTTTGTTTCTACACAGAGCTTCGGAGAGAGAGAGAGAGAGAGAGAGAGAGATCGGGGCAGCGATAGGGGGGCGGGGGACAGGCATAGGGGGGGGATGCATCGACCCACAATCGCCCACTGATCTTCGATGGGGGCCCGATAGCTCCAACCCGCCCAGGAGGAGCCCGCAATCCAGGCCTCCTAGATGGAGTCGGAGTAGATGGGGTCGAAGGATCGCTCCGCATCGCCGATGCATCGGCGAAGCGGCTCGATGTGGAGCCCGATTTGCTTTACGTCGGCGTCGCGGAAGCACCGCTCACGTCGACGATGCATCGCCGGTGCATCGCCAATACATCGCCGATGCATCGCCGATATATCGGCGATGCATCGGCGCGATCTTCCGACCCCATCTAGGAGGGCTCTGCACAAAGGACGTACGCGCCCAGCTACGTACATGAACACGGCCCCTTGACCCGCGAGACCGGTCGCGTGATACGAACATTCGCTCAATGCGAATTCTCGAAGCCAGCGTGGATTCACGGGGGATTGGGCGTCGCGTACTGGGGGGATCATAAAAGTGGGGGTGGCGAGGGTGGTCCGAAAAGGTACCCAAACGAACCCCCTGAGGCTCCGGAGGGTTCCCGAAAGGGGCAGGATAGGGGACCGTTTCTGACCCCCCCATGTATGCCTCCAGAGGCCCACGCGGTGGAAACAACCCGACGTCGGATTTGGGGGTAATTAGAGGGGGGCCGGACCGGGACATGTCGCTTCAGAGCTTCCCAGAGCGGTCTCAGAGCGTTCAGAAGCGCTCTGGGAGCGGCCACGGCGTCCGATGCATCCTCCACAGCCGCCGGACCTCCTCCTCCTCCTCCTCCTCCTCCTCCTCCTCCTCCTCCTCCTCCTCCCCCTCCTCCTGTCCCAGTATTGGTTTCGTCTCGGGAGGATGTCGGGGCAGGGTGGGAGGGGTACGGAGCGGCTTCCTGAGGGCACAGGCGCCGGCCTCCTGGGGGGCCTGGCGGAGCGAGGGGTGAGGAGGGGGAGGGTTGGAGGAGGAGGAGGGGGAGGAGGGAGAGAGGGAGGGGGAGGGGAAGGGGAGGACGAGGGGGAGGAGACAGAGGCGGCACGGATGAGGGACGGAGGAGCGGAGGAGGAGGAGGAGGAGGAGGAGGAAGTTCAGGAGGAGGGTTGGAGGGGGAGGAGGAGGAGGAGGAGGAGGAGGAGGAGGAGGAGGAGGAGGAGGAGAAGGAGGAGAAGGGAAAGAGTAAGGAGTAAAGAGGGATGAGGGAAACGCGAGGCGGGCGTGGGCGAGAGGGACGGTGGAGGAGATAATGAAGGTGGGGGTGAGGAGGGGAGAGGAAGAGGAGGAGGAGGAGGAGGAGTAGGAGGAGGAGGAGGAGGATGGAGGATGGATGATGGAGGGTAGAGAATGAAAGGCGGAGGGAGGATGGAGGATGGGGAATGAAAGGCGGAGGATGGAGGATGGAGGATGGAGGGTGGAGGGTGGAGGAATGGAGGAATGGAGGGTGAAGGGTGGAGGATGGAGGAGGAGGAGGAGGAGGAGGAGAGGAGGAGGACGAGGAGACGAGGAGAAGAATGCAGGAGAATGGAGGAGGAAGGAGGTGGAGGAGGAGGAGGAGGAGGAGGAGGAAGGAGGAGGAGGAGGAGGAGGAGGGGAGGAGGAGAGAGGAGGGAGGAGGAGGAGGGGAGGAGGAGGAGGAGGCGGAGGAGGAGGAGGAGAGGAGGAGGAGGAGGAGGAGGAGGAGGGAGGAGGAGGAGGAGGAGGAGGAGGATGAGGACAAGGAGGGAGGAGGAGGACAAGGAGGAGGAGGAGGAGGAAGAGGTGCGACGATAGAGGAGGAAGACAAGGAGATGGGAGGAGGAGGAGGAGGAGGAGGAGGAGGAGGAGGAAGAGGAGGAGGAGGAGGAGAAGGAGGGGGGGAGGAGGAGAGGAGGAAAGAGGGAGGAAGTACGTCGCAGAACCCCTAGAACTTATCGTCCCAGAAGAATCCCCTCATGCTTTCTCTTCCCCCCTCCTCCCTTTCTGTCGGAGGGCTCGAGAGAGTTGTCCGGAGAGTGGTAATTCGGGGGTCCTCTTGTTGTCTTCTTGCTATATTCTCTCTCTCTCTCTCTCCTCCCTCACCCTCCTCACCCTCCTCCTCCTCTCTCCTCCTCCCTCTTCCTCCCTTCTCCTGCCCCGTCCTTCTCTGGGATCCCCCCCGCACGACGACTGCGGCGGCTACGACGACGACGACGACGACGACGACGACGACGACGACGACGACGACGACGGTGGCGACGACAACGACGACGACGGCGACGACGACGACGACGATGACGACGACGACGACGACCACGACGACGACGACGACGGCGACGACGACGACGACGAGCTGGGCGCCCGCTGCCGCCTGCAGTGCTCCGTGGTCTGCCCGCCCGGCCGCCTGAGCGGAGACCCCACAGGCGGGGCGCGGCCGCCCGGCCAGCGGCCTTGCCGCCCAGCGCGCGCCTCTGCAGTGCGTGGCTGCCTCCTGGTCGGGACGATCGAACCGCCCGCATGTCCTGCTCGCCTCGAACGGGACACGCTGTCGGTGTCGCCGCGGGCGTTGACCATTTGATCGAAGCGAGTACAGTCGGGGCCCTGAAGAAGGAACCCTTTCCGTTGGGGAGGGGCTCCGTGTTCCTTCATTGTTTCGCAGCTTGCCTTACATTTTCCTTAGGGTTTCGATACGAAATCGAAGTTTATGGAAAAGAGCGGCCTCGTTCCTTATTTAGGGTTCCTTAGGTCAAGGCCCCGACTGTACGGAAATAATGGGTACAATAACCGACACGACAGCATTTCCTGTTCGTTTCGAACGGGGCTCGCTGTCGGCGTCGCCGCCCGCGTTGCCGCCCAGCGCGCGCCTCTCGAGCGCGTGGCTGCCTCCTGTCGCGTATGGCCAGGACCCCAGGCAAGGGGACCCAGTTAGTGGTAGGGCCCTGGAGCCCATGAATTGGCCAGAATCACTAGACCAGGTCTGCCGTAGCTGGTGCTTTTTCGGGGTGATGGCAGTTCCGGTCAGTGGAACGGGGCGGGGGGGGGGTGCTTCTCGAGCGAGTGGCTGCCTCCTGGTCGGGACGATCGAAGCGAGTGCGGAAATAATGGGTACAATAACCGCCAGCACTTCCTGTTCGTTTCGAACGGGACTCGCTGTCGGTGTCGCCGCGGGCGTTGACCATTCTCGGGCCGAACGACGGGGGGATTGGGAAAGGGGGGGTTACGAAATCTGCTGCATGCAGCTTGTTTCGCCCCCGCCGCTGGGCCCATTCCTCGATGCATGGGCGCCTCGGGCGCCTCCCGGCGCCAGGAGGCGCCGGGAAAATCAGCTACGTGAGCTGATTCTCAACCCCCCCTTTGCTATCCCCCCCTTTCGCCCGACCCGATCGAAGCCAGTGCGAAAATAATGGGTACAAAAATCAAGCAGTGGCGAAGCGTCCCGGCTCGCCTAGAGGCCCACCAAAGAATGTTCTAAGGACGTTGTGTGGTCTGCACGAGATGTTCGTAGAACAGTTCTGGCCGGGACTGTCTTGTTTTAACGCATCGGGCTTATGTTCTAAGAACATGGTTCTGGTTATGCGAGCACTTCTGGGTATAAGAACATGTCGTGGTAGGCCTACAGAAATGCCGGGACGGTCGGTCCCTGCTCAAAGTAGCCAACAGCATTTCTTGCTCGCTTCCAACGGGACACGCTGTCGGTGTCGCCGCGGGCGATGACCATTCGAGACAGAAGGCCGCCTGCCCAACAGCGGCTGCTGTCGGTTTGGGACAACATCTGTTGTTGGGCATCCATGCAGCTGATTTCGTGCCCGCCGCGGCGCGCGCGTCCCTCGACTTGGCATCGCTCGGACGTGTGCATTTTTTCTCTGCAAGAACCGTCGAGGACCATCCTGGACCATCGAGCAAAAAGAAGCACGCACGAAACCGAAAAATGCACGGAAAAGGGACGTCCGAGCGACGGCAAGTCGACTGCGTGGCGGCCTCTGGCACTGGGAGGCGCCGGGAGAGCCATCTGCACGCGGCTGATCCACTACAATCGATGACCATCAGGACGCGGGTCAGGTTTAGGCCTCCGAGATGGGGTCCGAGTAGATGGGGTTGGAGGGTCGCGGCGTATCGCCGATGCATCGGCGATGCGGCTCGATGTAGAGCCCGACCTTCTCCAAATCGACGTCGCCGATGCATCGCCGAAGTCGCCGATGCATCTGCGATGCGGCGCGATCCTCCGCTCCCATCGACTCCGACTCCATCTGGGAGGCCTCTAAGCGATGCGCCCTGATAGCAGCAAAGGTGAAGGGAAGAGGCGGGTCGGGGAGGAGAATGTCGGCTACGTGGTACGGGCGTGAGGGCACGGCCACGTGCACCCCAGTGTTCTTTACTGGGGACTGTTGCCATCTGGACCAAACATGTACTCCAGATTTCGTAATAAAAGGGAGGGGGTCTGGACCCTCCAAGACAAGCCATTTCAGACCTCCCCCGTGGAAGAACCCTCCAAAACATCCTCCCCAGACCCCCCAGGCCCTCCAAGATAGCCTGGAAGAGACCCCCCCCCGAAATCAGACCCCCCTCCCCTTACTACGAAATCTGGAGTAGGGATGGGCAACCTTCCCAAGGGTACCCCTGCATCCTTGCCGCCTCGGTCCGTCCTTCGCCGCTGCCGCTGGCCGCGCCCCGCTCGAAGAGCTTCGCCATGGGCGTCCAGGGACCCTGCATCCTTATCGCGCATCCTCACTATACTGGCGGACTGCAGCCGGCACTGCGGCGCGAACAGGACTCCTGCATCGACCGCGAGGAGGTCTCCTTGGCATCGCTCGGACGTGTGCATTCTTCAGTCGGCGAGGCCCATCGAGGAGCATCCTCGATCACTTGGCGAAGAAACCACGCACGAAACCGAGAAAAGCACAGGGAATGGACGTCCGAGCGATGGCCACTCTTGGGCGAGACGCCTGCCGGCACCGGGGGCGGGCGCGGGCTCCTCCCCGAACCCCCCCCCAGCGCAGGGCAGCACGCAGCGGCACAAACATATACGAGTGTTGAGCTCCGCGCGGGGTCCTCGGATCGACGCTGCCCCGGATGCGCTGGTGTTCCACCATCACCACCACCATAAGTTGGAGGCGGGAAGGGATCCTCCTCCTCCTCCTCCTACTCCTCCTCCTCCTCCTCCTCCTCCTCCTCCTTTCCCCCTCCAGCTTATGGTGGTGGCTGGTGGAAAACAGGCCCATCAGCCCCCTTGCGGCGTCCCCGCCGCCGCCACTGGCCCGCTCCGCGCGCGAGAGAGGGGAAATCCGCGCTGGCCTCCGAACTTATATGTTCATGTCATTGCTTGTTCCCCTGCTTGGGCTCTTCCGTGGCCTTTTTTTTTGGGGGGGGGGGGGCATTGTGAAACATCGGCGGCGAGCGAGGGGGTAAATGAGAAGGAGACGGCCTTCTCAGAAGGCGGCGGGACTTCTCAGAAGCCCCCGCTCCTGCTGAGAAGTTTTCTGCGTCCTCGGGGAAGGCTTAGGACACTTTCTCAGAAGGCGGGAGGACCTCCGAGTCTTCTGAGAAGGCCCGCCCCTTCTCACTTCCCCCCTCCGGCTCGCCGTCGAACAAAAAGCACCTCTCGCGGAATGGCGTGAGGGAACAGGACGCATCGGCGGGCTGGGTCGTGGCGCTGCTCCGTGGCCGGGGTCCGGGGCAGGCTACCCCCCTGGTGTGTGAGCCCGCGAGCGGCGGCGGGCGGGCTGGTGGCGGCGGGCGGCGAGGGTCCGAGCCGAGGAAATGGGGTCGGAGGGTCGCGTGGCGTCGCCGATGCGTCGTTGATGCGGCTCGATGTGGAGCCCGAGCGTTCCCATGCCGACGCCGCCGAGGCAGTGCGCCGCTGCGTGGGTGACGCCTTGGCGATGTGGCGCGGTCCACCGACCCCATCTGCTCGGGCCCCATCCCAGCATCTCAGAGGCCTCTGGACGAGGCGCTGCGCGCGACCTGCTCGCCGCCGCGGCGACGGAAGAAGGCGGGCTCGTCCTCTCCAGCGCAGGCGCCTGAGCTGCCGCGCAGAGTCGCGCGTGAGCGCCCTCGCTCCCAGGGTTGCGTGCCGCGCGGGTGGCCCGCGTTGGCCGCGGCGTCAGGTCGCCGCGCTGTCTCGCTGACGACGCGCTCCTTCTCGTCGCTCGTCGGGGCCCTCGGGGGCTCGCCCTCGTGCCCTCCTGGGGCCGCCGGCTCTCCGTACCTTCCGACGACGTGGTGTTCTGCAGGGGTCCGCCTAGACGGTGCTCCGGCGATTTCGATCTCGTGGGCCGGTTTCGTTTCGAGGTCGTTCTGCAGCAGAGGTGGCTTGGAGACGAAACGAGGGAAATCCAGAAACACAACGAAGACGAGAAACACTGTTCAGGCCGATCCCTGATGTGCAGTCGGCCCCTGCGGCTTTCTTCCTCCGCCTCGGCCTTTTGGAGGCCACTATCGCCCCCCCCCGCCCGGGCCATCAAAGAAGGATCGAAGATCGGGTCGGGCGAAAGGGGGGGTTTGGGAAAGGGGGGGGTACGAAATCTGCTGCATGCAGCTGGTATCGGCCCCACCGAAGGGCCCATTCCTCGATACATGGGCGCCTCCGGCGCCGGGAGGCGCCGGGAAAATCAGCTACGTGAGCTGATTCTCAACCCCCCCCTTTGCTATCCCCTCCTTTCGCCCGACCCGAGAAGACCAAAAGCCGCTTCTGGGCAGGCGGTCGGGACCTGCTGGGGCTGCGGATTGGAGCCGCACCGGCGGACGCATGTCACGGCTGGAGTGGCCGCACGGCGCGGCCGTGGGAAGAACCAGAACCGTCCAGAAGGAGGAGGAGGAGGAGGAGGAGGAGGAGGAGGAGGAGGAGGAGGAGAAACAAAAACCGAGAAAAAACAACGAATTACATCCAGCGTGTGTAAGAGCCAGTGCGCGGAGACGACGGGGCACTCTCCAGACAGAGTCAGGGGAAAGAGAGGAGAGCAGCATTCAGATTGTGTAGCTGTTCCTGGGGGGGAGGAGGAAGGGGGGGGACTCTCTACAGTCCATCCACTGTCTCTGGGCAGGGGAGGCGGGAGGCGGGAGGCGGGTGGGGCGGAGGAGGTGGAGGAGGCAGAAGAGTCGAGCAGACATGTTGGCTCGAGGAGTATAGAGGCCACCGTGGTCCCACAGTCACCCTCATCACTCGGGCCGGGCGAAAGGGGGGGTTTGGGAAAGGGGGGGTTACGAAATCTGCTGCGTGCAGCTGGTTTCGGCCTCACCGAGGGGCCCATTCCTCGATACATGGGCGCCTCCGGCGCCGGGAGGCGCCAGGAAAATCAGCTACGTGAGCTGATTCTCAAACCCCCGCTTTGCTATCCCCCCCTTTCGCCCGACCCGAATCACACTTCCGATACCGTCGCTCCGGCATGCCTCGATCTCATCGATCCCCTCGCCTGTCTTTGTAATG